AGACACGCCAATTTGAAGAAATGCACACCAATCGATTGGTGCTCCACAAATCAAAATCCTTGTAGACGTATCGGCCCATTCCCATGACGAATGCATGCATGATCAGAAAACTGCAAAAGCACGAGAAAAGGTAGAAAAGGTGGAACGTAACGCAGAAGCACATTCAATTACTCCACTGTCAGTATTTCATCTTTTACTCACGCACACAGATTTTACTAATTCCTTTAAGAGATTAAAGAAATGAACTACAACAGAGCCACTTCAAAGAATGCAAACACACACACTTCAAGGGTGAGTGTCTGCACACACACCACACCTCACCGCACTGGGCTTAGAAGATCGTTTTAAACAGAAATGCTTTCTTCTACTCAATTTTGATTCCATGAAAGCAGCAGCAGCCTGGACTACTACTCATTATATAAATTCTCATTTTTAATAAGAACATAGGAAACTACTGACATGAACTGGAGGACTACAGCTGAAATAACCTTAATAACAGTAAAATGTGTGCTGCTGTCTGAAATTAGTGAACATACAAAGGCCGATGCATGTGTCCAAGTGAAAATTAAGAAGTCATATTAATTTACTTTATATATTTTTATGCAAAAAGAAGCTTCATGTGTATTTATGCATGATTGATTTCACTCCTTTAAGATTATTCTTAAGCAAAACCTCTAAGATCTTTTAAGTTGTGTATATCTAATAATAATATTACCGCTGTTTTCCCCGGTCGCTGAGGGATTTGAATAGTGAATGTTTGTAGTTTTCAAGGTTAGTGATTTTCTGGATAGGAATTATTATTTATTTATTGTGCTTGTTCGAAGCAACGCAGTGTGACGGATCCTGACGAGAGGAGGGAACAATTTTCCAAATAATGTAATACATATATAAACAAACAAACTATGCTTTGTCGTTTTTATATTGCTCAAAAGTATAATTTCCTCAAACGGCCTAGACCTGTCACTATAACAAATTTTGCTGGGCGATTAATTGTCTCAGAAATTATTGTGATAAATGATAATATTGTTTGAAATTTGACAATAATTAGTAATTATTGGCAAATTTAAAAAGAAATGTTGGTTAATTTGTTTTGCATGTAGTATTGTTTTTTTGACCACCGGGTGGCAGTATAAGACTGTTTGAACCAAAGGATGGATAGTGAGGGAGCAAGCAGTGTGTCTCTAAGAAAAATGGGAGGGAGGCCCCTTGACATGACATGGGCTGTCTCTCCTTCCTTTATTCGGTTTTCAAAATGGTGGATACTCAATGTGGTTCAAGCTCTTTAGCATCACGTTTTTTAACACAAAGCTTTTAATAAAAATTAAAAAAAATCAGTAAACAAGTTTTCAGCTTCTTTTTGCAGAGAAAAACAACTTTTTACATGAAGGCACAGGTTTCAACCGTGAATTTTAGAGCTTTGACAAGACGGAGGTTTTTGACCCAACCTTAGTTGGACTGTTTAAAAAAAATATATACCTTACTGTTTGTGTCAGACTTTTTACAAGTTTCTTTAGGAGATGCAAGTATTTTTTGAATTTGATATTTGCAACTCCCTTAAAAACTTGAACTGGTCGTGTTTACCACTCGAAACATCTGCCCCTTTTTCAGCAAACAGGAAGTGTTCAGAATTAAGAGACTTAACTTTAAACAGGAAAAGTTTGCACATCCATGCTTGATGTGGGAATTCACTTCATCAACAGTTCAGTCTCTTTGTTTCAAGGATTTATTTCAAACTGAAGAAAATGTTTTAAGTGGACCGAAAGTTATTTTTATATTTAACGAGTCAGAAGAAAAAAAGGTGCCTTCATAAATGTGTAAATTACCTGGATCATTTGTACTAATGAACCCCTATAGCATTTTAGATGACGACTTTTGAAATGTTTGCTGATAAAAAGATGAAAGAGATTTCCCGTTCTAGCCTTAAGGAAATAGTATCTACAATTTTCAACATGAACGTCAAATTCTTATTGGTCTGAATGGAGGAGTTTTCTACTTGACCCGAGTACATCTGAACTGAGGCCCAGGTAACGTGGTCATGGTTCTGGATTCATACTTAAGAAATGATTTTTCTCTAATCTTTAAAACCAGAAAATGGGATGTTTGTTTTGGCACAAACTATTGAACTTCAAAATAAGGTACTTTGCAAGTTTCACAGTAAACCAGAGTGAATTGGTGTCGATATGTTTATGATTATACATTATTGATGTATGTCCAATGTACCTATGCACATGTAATGTAACTAAAAAAATAATAAAGTCCGTAAAGCAAGCTAGTAAAAGTAAAAAGGATCATACAGGAAGAAAATGCTAAAACTGAGCATCAAACACTTATGTACGCAGATAATTAAGACACTTAAAGTGTCCTTAAAAACATCTATTCTCAAGTACAGCTGTTGTTTTTCAGTCCATTCTCCAATTTATTTGCCAGATCTCCACTGCTGAGGTGGAAACACGAACCGGAATCTTCCAGGTACAACGAACCTGTGGGCTTATCTGGAAGCAATTAGTCACAAAGGGGTTGCTGAAATCGCTCAATAGTTCTGAAGAGACTGATTTCTCCCTCCTGCCGTTGGCTTAACCACATTATCAGCTGGAAATACTGTTAGTGAGGGATGAGAGGCATCTTTCACTGCACTGTCTGCCAACGCTTCACAGCCATTTCAGCTGCAGCAACCATCTTAACGACAGAACTTTATTTTCTCCACAAATTCACTAGTAAATTACTTCACATTACCTTTTTATTTCCACAAAACTGGTTCAACTAAGACAAAAAGGAGCTGTAAAGAATTAGGGCAGAGCTTAGAAGTTGTAGACAATGCTCTTCAGCAAGATCTTGGTGTAGTAACGCAACGACGACACGTCTTTGTTGGTTTAAAGTGCTAACTCGTACACACGTGGTCGCTGCTTCAATTCTGTTCAAAGGAAACCAATAAAAAATACAACAAAAGAAATCAAGAACAGAAGTTCCTTCAGAAGCGTTGCAGCAGCATGAAAGGAGGAGCAAACTAGCCAGTCGTGGCTCTGGACTGAAATACCTGAGTTCTACTGCATCAGAATACACGATGAACGCAAGGTCTGACGTCAGGGGCTGAAAAAAAAAATATCCTACAAAGCATGAAAACCTGATCATAGACTAGTCTACTTTACTTACATAATTAAAGTGATGGTTCAACATTCGTTACATAGAGAAAAAAAAAGGGCTGAAAAAAGTGAAAAATAATGACACTTGCAAACGAGACATACAAATTCAACTGTATTATCATAATAAATTTAAAAATGTCGTTCATAAGGGTTGTCTTTCACTGCAGCGATCCCAACCTGAGATCACCACCAGCTGAAGACCACAGGAACCAACGGAGGTTTTAGCTGCACAGTCATCAAGAGTACCGGTAGTTCTACACATGTAGAAAATAATCACGTGTCTTGTGTGATGAGTCTGTGCATAAAACACTGCAGCTTGCAAAACGGCCTCCCTATAAAACAAGACCAACAAGCAGATCCAAGGACCTGAATCATGCATCCAACTGGAGTACAGAGCTGGAAAAGTACCAAACAAGAGCTTCCTCAATATGTGCAGCTGATAACGCAAGACTAGTGGCTCTGAAAGTGAGACTGTATGCACCAGTTTGCAACATGTTTCGCTCCCCCACATAGCCCTCAGAAGCTCTTGTTTCATTACGCCAGCCAGGATTGGTTGGCAGCTGTGACGCTGATGCCCAGAAGGGAGACAACCAAACCCATACATAAACAGTGTTTCTCACAGGCTGGAGGAAGCTTTTACTCTGAGCAACACGAGTAGGGTCCTTCAGACACCTTGGCCTCCGTTCAGGGGTGTTTCTTTTCCAGACACGCGCTCTGCTGAAAGCTGGGCCTTATTTAACACTTCTGCAGCGCTCCAGAGCTTGGATATTTCTTCACCTACATTGGCACGTGGTGCAGAGGACATCTGCCTCGGGTACACTACCTCTAAAATGAACTGTAGTTGTTTTCAGTGGGAGCTTGTGAGGCAATATAAAATTCTTGAAAGAGAACTAAAGGTTACGTTTGTAAGACTGGTTTCTGAGAGCACGAGTAAGGGACCTCACAAGTTCACCCTCCTTGTATGAGGCAAGAAAGAGGTCGATCTTTAAGCTTTATCTTTAAGCACCTACAGGCCAACCAATCACGCAGGCGTAATGACAAAGGAGCTCCTGAGGATTACTCAGGGGAGCATACCTATAGACAAACATCTCATTCATGCTATCAAAGAACCAGGGCTACACAGATCCCTACATTTCCAACCTCAGGCACATAAAATACCTCAGCTGTGAAGACGAACCCGCCTACCTTCAAGCTGATTCAGTGTTAAAGAGATGTTTCAAGAAAAAAACTGTCAAAATATTTTGGATTTCCAAAGGAGCAATTGATTTATCCTGACTGACGAACCTCGCAGTTTCCAGCCATTCACCCTTCCAGCTCTGTTGGAGCCTTCAGCACCAAAACACCAGACATCCATAAACATATCTCTAGGATTTATAATAAAATATAGGGGTGCACCTACTGCAGTTTTCTGGCCGATCACTGATCTCTAAACAGGCCTGACCTGCCGATTGGGATTTTGGCCGATACCAATTTTGTTTAATAAGCGACACTGTCAGACGTTATAAGGTCACAATGTGCCTTCAATTTTCCAATATTATTTTACTGAAAAACATACCATTGAACAATATCCTAGAAACAATACAAACTTGTTTTAACTGGCCATGAGGTAGTGCTCTGAAATATAAATGAAGTTTAGACAATTGTTGTTAAAACTACCAAAAAAAAATCGGTAAAATCGTTTTCTCAAATCGGTATCGGTCAATCGCAGATCACCAAAATTAAGGAAATCGGGGGCGATTTATCTGTGCACCCCTAATAAAATAAAATTCTGAATCATTCATTAGGTGTTTGTGTACATATTTGCAAGAGGGGGGAAAAGGGTAGAAATGAGCGACATAGATGATATTTTATTTCTCTTACATGTGATGATGACGAGGAAGGTGCGGACCAGGAGGTCGACGGGCGTTTCCCACCTCTCCGACACGCGAGCTACTATCCAAGGTATGATGATCTCTGCTGGGACGTAAAACTGCAACGCGAAGGTGACGAAGATGCCAAAACAGTAGAGCAGCTTCACGACCTGGTACATCCTGGAAGCAGAGGCAGCGGGAGTTTAGTTGGGAAAGTTTCAAAAAGAAACGCAGGTTCAGACTAAATGGAAAAGAAAAAAGTGAAGAAAATCAAACACAACGTTGTGATGTTTTATAAACAAAACCCATAAAAACTCCAACAAACTAAACACTACAATCCTTTTTTTTTTTTTTTTTAAATGAAGCAGCAAACATTGACTGCCCTCTGTTCACGGTTTCAAACAGATGCTGCTAATTGTCGTCTTTCAGTTGTCAACCTCGTTTAACAGCCAATCTATTCCACTAATAAGCAGCATCAGTTCAGTCGCAAGAGAAACTTCAATGGGCGTCTCTCCCTCCTGCAGCTGTGGTGATAGCAACAAGTAATGAGCAAACAGATCCAATCTGAGAATTTGGTTTCACCGTCGTTATTGTGGGAGCATTTCCATCGTTAAAAATCAGACTGACGGTGTCTATAAAAAAAAAAAAACACCAAACACCTTCGTCTGTGAGGAGCAGATTAACTACTGAGGGTTTGTCGTTTGTTATTGAAGCGTCAGCTGCGTGTGCTGAAAACTAACTCAAAGTTAGGACATGTTTGAATTAGTAGGCCTGTCGCAATAAACAATAAATCAATTAATCGCATGATAAATAACAATTATCGACCTCGTTTTCATTTATCAGCTTTATCGTTTCTTTGTCTCTCTATTTCTACCGAAGACACTGGACGACAAAAGGCTCAACTCCGGTGCTCTTCACTGACCCCTCCCTTTCTCTTTTCTCTTTAAAATCCATTTTAACCGTCCACAATCGTGTTTTTGGATCGTTAAGCTGAGAAGCTAAGCTACGAGCTAAGCTAACAGGCCGACCTTGGGGGAAAAAAACTCCATCTTGTCGAAGCTCCAAAATTCACGGTTGAAACCCGTGCCTTCGTGTAAAAAGTTGTTTTTCTCTGCAAAAAGAAGTTGAGAACTTGTTTTCTTTTCTTTATTTTTTTCATTATTATTATTATTTAAAGCTTTATGTGACAAATGTTATGCTAAAGAGCTCAAACCACACCGAGCAAACCATTTTGAGAACCAGAAAAAAAGGGAGACAGCCCATGTCATGTCAGGGGGCTTCCCTCCCATTTTTCTTAAAGAGAAACGCTGCTCGCTCCCTCAATATCCATCCTTTGGTTCAAACAGTCTTATACTGCCATCCGGGGGTCAAAAAAGGTACTACATGCAAAATAAAATTAACCAATTTTTTTTCTTACTAATTATTGTCAAATTTCAAACAATATTATCATTTATCGCAATCATTTCTGAGATAATTAATCACCCAGCAAAATTTGTTAACGTGACAGGCCTATGAATTAGTACTATCCACCTTATCTTGGGGGCTCTACTGTATAAATGATTCTGCGTACAATTTCCTGTCGGACACAGGAAGCAGCAGTAAGCATGGTAGCGGAGCACGGACCGCATTTGCATTCAGTTTAGCAGATAAAATGCTGCTTTTGTTTTGTTTACATTTATTTAACAAACAAAGTTTACTAAAATAGCTGTGCTGAGTTCAGGTACCTGTTGTGTTCACGGCTACACAATCAGTGGCTACAACAACAGAGTTTTGAACACGGACCCAAAACAAAAAGAGTGTTCCTGTGAAAAGCGGTCTAGTTTCCATCTCCTACCTACAGATGAGGAATGAAGAAGAATGAGGCTGAAAAAATGTGAACTTGAAGAGACCGCCCAAAACGCTGCATGTGTGCTCATTTCACTTTGTGGACAAACGACCGACGGAGGAAATCCTGCATCCTACTTTGTGTCTGGACTACAATGAACCACCGGAGAAGAGACGCCAGATCCTCAGAAGGATTGAAAACAGTGACGAGAACATTAGGTATGATTTCAGGTGTATGGAGGGCACGGCATTATAGTATTTGTTCGTCTTCAGTTTTATGATTTTCTCTACAATTAACCCAAGCTCAGTGATGGAGGACTTTAAGGCTTTGGCTGGGCTCTGTGTCTGCTTTAAAGGTCAATAAGATTGTGTCCCACCTCTTGTAACAAAACACCACCGACCTTATTACTGTGGAGATGCTGATACACCTCGGAGCTTTTCAGGTTGTTTATCGCTTCACCGTCAGAAGAACTGAGTCAATGAAGTAGCTAATATGCTAGTAGATGTAACTAAATATGCTAGTAGATGTAGCTAAATATGCTAGTACATGTACCTAAACGTGCTAGTAGATGTAGCTAAACATGCTAGTAGATGTAGCTAAATATGCTAGTAGATGTAGCTAAACATGCTAGTAGATGTAGCTAAACATGCTAGTAGATGTAGCTAAACATGCTAGTAGATGTAACTAAATATGCTAGTAGATGTAGCTAAATATGCTAGTAGATGTAGCAAAACATGCTAGTAGATGTAGCTAAACATGCTAGTAGATGTAGCTAAATATGCTAGTAGATGTAGCTAAATATG